TTCTAGCATTACAGGGGTCACTTAGAATAAATTAGAACCGCCATGGTACACTTAAATGGAAAACTAAAAATTATATTATAAAAAATATTGACGTTTGAAATATCACTTATTTTGTATCTTTTTTTGAATTTATATGGGAAAAGATCAAAAGTGCTACTTTCAGCGGCCGCGCAGTTCAGCTGCCACAATCTATCAGAAAATATCACTTTCTTCGCTGTAATAATCCATAATTTTCTCGATGCGTCGTTTTTTACTTTTAGTTTTTATAATAAACAAATTTTAGTTTTTCTAATAAACAACTTTCATAGGTATTCGTTTGTCAATAAATTCCTCCCCAAAGTTGTATTTTAATGAACTATTTCTCGTAAAAAGCAGTTATATACTTACAGGACAAATATTTACTTGCTAAAATATATTTAATGGGTGCGTTTATCTAACTTCACTGCTCTGTAATTGTTGGATAGCATTTGCCTCTTATATGTTATTTTAAAATCGAGCACTAACTAAGTTCAGTGCTATTTCGACAGTTGAGTCTATTGAAGGTACCCAATAAAGTTATATGACTTAAATCAAGATACATAAAAACTGTATGCAACAATATATGCTGGTCGTATATTTTTATTATTAAAATAACTGGTTTGCATAACACGTTCATATTTCATCGCTTCTGAGTAACCCGTCCAAGCCAGGGTATTTTCTAATATATTATACAATCTTAGAACCACCCATTCAAACGTTCCAGTAATATATTATTTGAAACAATTTTTATTTTCTAAGAATAAAGGGTGGGCACTAGTAATATAATATTTTCACGCAATGAGAAAGATACAAATCTTCCTGTAAGGATATAATTATATGTAAGTGGTTTCCAATATCTCTCATCTTAAAAAATACTTTTTTTGTTACCAGCAAGCTTGATATAAACTAAGAACAAGTTTTTACAGCCGTTGACTGCTGATGTAGGGGTAAGGTGAATATTGATCAGATAATTTTCTATACGAATAACAAAAAATTCCTTCTGTTTCTAATATTTTATTTATATGTGAGTGTTCACTGGAAAGGTAATGTATCTAGTGATTATTATATTTATATTTTCATGTTCATATAACCAAAAATTTCAAATTGCTTTTTGAGAATAAATAAATCACTTATGGTGAGACGCTTGTTAAACATAAATATATTAGTTAATGGGCTATTTGTATGTTAAACATTCTTTACTTACCAGAAAGATAGATACAAGTTACAAAGATATGTTAGTAAAAATATGTAAACAGTAGTCTATAAACAGAGTACACCTACAAAACCTTGCTCGTGTGTAAATTAAAACAGATTAAAATTAGAATAAAAGGCACAAATGTCAGAAAAATTATAAATAAAGCAGAGAAAACCCACAAAAAAAGAAGATTAATATTAGTATTAAAGTATGAGACCATTAGTTCTTTGATGTCAAAGATTTGTTTATATAACCATACGTCTTACCTTTTCGACGATATATTGTGTATGGTATTTCATTTTAAATGATTGCAATGACAATTTCTAGTCATTTAATTTTATTTGCTATTGATGTATCGGTTAAATATTGACCTAATCGGATTTTAATTAAGTTTAATTTTTGTAGCGAGTCATTGTAGTAACAGAATGGTGCAGCAAATATTTTGTTAAAATTAATTGTAAGAAGGTTATTTTTAAACTAGTTTGCTAATTTTATAAAATCAGTTTCAGCTTTTTGTTTGAATAGCGACCATGTCGTGTCTATGTAAAAGATTACAGAGTTATCAACAAAACTGATAAGATCGTTCTGGGTATCATTAACAATATAACAACGGGCCAAGCACTGTTCCTTGTGGGACCTCACATGTTACTTGTCTACCCTTATTGCATTTTCAATTCGAACCCTATGTTTTCTTTCTATGAATAGCTGAGTCAACGAAGATGCAAGAAATGTTTTCATCTAGAAATGTATAGATTTTAGCTACTAAATTAGCCATGGCATCTTGTTTAGATATTCATGTTGCAACACGGTAGTCGCAATCATTAATTTGGATGGGCAACCCAATTAAAATCGACGACCTCGTCTTCTAGTAGCTTGTATATCAGGGTATGTATACCTAGAAGCTATGCAATCTTAGGCAAGGGTTGTGTAGGTGATATATCATACCTCGGAGGGGATGTGAAGCAGTCGGTCCCTTGTCTATCAGATGATAGACAAATAAAAAAATCCGTGGCGTCGGTGATTGGACCTGGTAGGGGAAATAGGCGGGGTTAAATAAATGAATAAAGAAAATTGTTCGTATATTTTAACAGTATTTTTATTAATGCTACTGGGCTGCAGTTACTTACTTCTGATTTATCTCGACTTTTGTATATAGGTTACTTTTAAAGACATTTGGGAAGATGCCAGTTTTCATTGCCTTATTTATAATTAGAGATTAGTAATAAATTCCGAAGGCGACTTTTACGTACGTAGATATAATATTATATTGTAAGCTAATGAAACATTCCCATCCAATACGAAATGGTAAACTTCTTATGTACTATACAATAAATCTGTTTCCTTTATAAAAATGAGAAGAAACAATTAAAGGTTTCTCTCAGGTAATTGGTAATTGCAAACCGATGGGCCTCGTTATTGTCGAGTATCCAATAGCAGATAGATATTGGTGGATCACACAAACATTTTTTCTGAACTGGATGACAAGTACTGGATTAGCGTGGATGAAACCACCAATACTTACGGCAGGAAGGTCGCAAATGTTTTAGTGGTGACATCTGTAAAAACTTCGCGAAACTGTTTTTTATATCTTTATTTTTTGTAGACCAATTTGGTAATTTGACTAAAAAATAATTGTACTAATATTAACATTTAGTTAACAGTACTGTTTTTCACTACCTGTTTTTAAAAAAATAGTTGCAATTTCGAAAAATTCAATTGGTACCTATAAATTATCACTTAATTATCTGTCGAGTTGAACTCTAACAGCAATATTTAATGAAACATCCGTAGGAATAATGTCTTCATCAGAGAATTTTTGAGTAAATTGAGTTAAATTTAAAGTCTTTTGAAGTACGTGTCATACAGCATGCAGTGCCATATGCATTTAAACTTTGACGCGATTTCTACTCTTTTAGTATAATTTAAAGGTTTACTTTTTAGAAGACCCGAATAAAATTCCAAACGTTTAATTATTGAAAGAGTAATTACATTATATTTAGATCGAAATGAAACCACAATTTTACCTAAACTTCTCAAAAGTGTGTCAAACATTGAATTGATTCATGATTTTAACTACTAAAATTGATTGGAACAGATTATAGACCTTCGGATATTATTTGTAATGTATTCTACCGGACTTAATAAAACCATTATCTGAAAAATCTCTCCATCAGCGTTTATAATATCTTTCATTATCAAGCTTTGTCTCTTCTTCCAAACGGATCACTAATATCCACACTTGAGATTGGCAATAAACCAGAATCAAACTATATTGTTCTTTCTTTGGGTGATTTATGTTTTAAAAGTAGCATTTTACGAATATTTCCACGAGATATATATTTCTCTTTAGTATTACAAACAAAGAAATATGACATATTTTTATAACTGTTACAGAAAATATACATATTTGTACAATTCTTTGGCACATCAACATTATACCAAAATAACTTTATACATAGTTTAAAAATATATATATTACCTTACCCAGTCCTCAAAATATTAAGATGAACTCACAATGGTATTTACTGTGTTACACTATCCATTACATTGTTGATCAAGTAGTAAGAGGATATCGTCGAATTCAAATGTAGAGTTTAAACATTTTAACAAATAAATTATCTTTGACGAATACCTTGTTATCATCATTACTTTTAATATCATAGGGTTTATAAGCCTTTCATAGATGCAAATTTTTTTAGATTTTGTATTATAAAAATAAGAGAATTTGGTATTGGTATGGAATGTGATTGCTTTATTTAAAATACTAATTGTATAAAATGGTGGATGAGTCGGTGTTTCTGTTAATGGGTCAAAGTCTTGAATTTCTCGTTTTAATTTTCATCATATAACGTATATCACTAATTGTTTCATGGAACTGAGAAAGAGAGACACTGAAAAAGTAGATTAATTATTTATAAGGAAATAAAGAAAAAATACTTACCTTAGATATATTTGTAATATTTATGTCAATTTTTACCCAACATTGAGCACGTATAAATTTGTAACATTTTCATGTATTTTTGGTAACAGGTATAATATTTTAAAATTGATAATCTTGAAAAGTTCAGCTCACGTATAGGTTTTCTGTTGTGGTAGGCTTTTCATCTTTTGTGTAATATACTCTAAAGGCCTATATACCACTGCCGTAAACATTTAAAAGCCGGCCCGAGTGCCGTCTATGCCTGGAGGGAAGGACCTTCCTGTCCCGCTGTGGAGAGGATCCTTCTCAATTTTGGAAAGGGCCTGCTGGTCTGATTCTCACCCAATAAAGTTATCAGTTTCATAAGAGACTGAACTTTGAGTGAAATTTAGGCGTGAGCACAAGGCCTGCTATGGCCGCAGTGGAGGGTCTACAGACCCCTCCACAAACCTAACCTAACCTAATATACGTGTTAAGCTTATTTATATTTTGATAAGTTTTTCAAATACATCAATGCAGCTAACTTAAAATTGAAGGGCTTATCACAACATCTATATATATTGAATTATGTAATTACCCAATTTTTCACTTGGTATTTTTATATACCTTATATTTACAAAGCAACTGTTTTGCAAGACAGAATAAGGCTGCCAACCACACAGAGATTTAGCTTTCAAATTATTTATAAATTTATATTTTCCCCACATACGAGCACCTACTTAGTACTCTAATGAGTCTACCTGATTTATTTACAATCCAGTTATTATTTTACTATGTGTATGTACCCATTTATATTGTTATTTCAAATATGCTCATTGTAATTTATTTATAGTAAATACTTAAATCTACTACCATTAATTATCATATGACTTCGTAGTTGAGTGGCAAAAACATTTGCCTCTCACCCTGGAGTCCCGGGTTCGATCCCCGTCCGGGAGCTAGGATTTTTCTTAAATCAGACATTAATCCTAGCACTCGGACATTGACTGTGTGTGTTTTATCTCTAAATATGCAACCCTACCCCGTACAAGGTACCTTAAAGTACCTTCAGGGATACAGATGGTTGTATTACCTATGGTGTCTAATTAAAAAAAATTAATCATCACATCCGATGAATAGGACAAAATAAGATTACATATCTTACATATTCGGAAAAATTGTTAGTTTCTCTTAATAGTTAAATATGAAATGCTGCCCTTTGTTCCGACTATCACTGTAGCGCTTTAACGATTATCTAATTTATTTGAAATATTTATTTTTTAAAATGATTGTGAAATTTTAAATTATCACTTTCAAGATGTACCAGATCTATCTAACAAAACAATATCATCAGAAAAATGCTTAAACTTAAAATAATTATCAATTTATTGTGTTATTTACACCGTCACTTTGACAAAACCTTCTTCTCTGATGATGCTTGATTAATTTTCTAGTGCATCACCTATTAAGCTTTCTTCTCAATAAGAAAAGGTTTGCAAAAGAAAACACATTGATTAAGGATATAGATGTGAATAATGGATAGTCTATAAGTTTAATTGATAAAATAATTAGGAAACGGAAATTTAAAGAGACACCTCGAAATTCCTCGATCTTTCAAAATTAAAGAGAAAATCCGAAATTTATTTATATCGATTCTATACGATCCTTGATCCACCCGTGGTATTAGCAACATTTTTAAAGTTATGGGACAATGGTTCATTTATCGGGAAATAAACTACAATTCTTAGGCAATCCAAAAGACAAAACTGAAACAAGCGAAAAGTCGGAGATTTATCTGTAAGGACTGTAATCAAAAGTATGTTGGACATACTAGACGATCAATTTAAAATAGATTCAAGGAGCATATGGTTCATCTCAAATATGGTAGAACAGAATATGTTTAGTGTTGCCCAACATGAGTTTGAGAATAACCGTAAAATAAATAGTAGTAATTTAATATTAATTAAGAAAGTAGAAATATTAGACAGCTGGATGCATTTGAAAGCTTGGATATTACAAAGTGTAAAAATAGTATGAATAGTGACAGAGGGCCAATCCCATATAGTCCGATCAATTGGTTACTGAGTCATGGTTCACCGAACGGTAATAATAGTTTAGGGATAAATAGAAAACATTGTTAGCGTAAGGTTAGTTTTAGTCATCTCCGGATGATGCTTGGTTGGCAAAATGCATGTCTATGACAATATATGGTATTATGGTGTTTTGTGGAAAACTACATCAGTTTTGGCTACACATCAAAGGTTCCAACCGCTTCAGTATTTTTATTGAAAATAAAAAATGTTATTTCAATAACATTTTATTAATTCGTGTAATGACATGTAAGAAAATTAATAACTTAATATGTTACATTATATGACAGCTTAATAGAAACCAATATAAATCCCACATTTTCAGTTGCTTGGGCAACTTGACGTAATGTTCTTTTGAACGCTTTATATTTGCAAAAATTGTTGTATATTACTATATTACATATTTAATTTATTCAATTTCCATTTGAAATAATTAAAATAAAAAGTGAGATGAAATTTTTAAATTTTAATACGCTCGTTTGACTGTTTTTAGGATACTTGCAGTCAACAGGTTGACTTTTAATTCAGTTATAAAATATGAATATCCTTAGAGATGAGAATACATTTAAAGTGTGCATGTGATTTTACACTTTAAATTCTGCATTACAATATGTGCAAAGGAGTAACAGTTAGGATCTACAAGGTTTTAAATGAAATTAGCTGTTAATTCGCCCACATCTTCTTTAGACCTTGAATGTCCTTTCGAATATTTTTTTTGTTTAATGGTAGACACTTATTTAAATTAAAATTGATTCGCTTGCAAACCATAGACGCACACATGATTTCGGTCATAGAGAATATCACTGAACGAAATTTTGTATTATTTATTACATAAATAATAAAACCATTTTGGTTTATTAAACTATCACCAGAGACAATTTTCATTATTATCATTTATTGTCTTAAATTACTACTTGTTTTGTCTACTCTTACCGTTTGAAATGCAAGAAGAGCAATTTTTTTAGTGTATATATATATATATATATATATATATATATATATATATATATATATATATATATATATATATATATATATATATATATATATATATATATATATATATATATATATATATATATATATATATATATATATATATATATATATATATATATATATATATATATATATATATATATATATATATATATATATATATATATATATATATATATATATATATATATATATATATATATATATATATATATATATATATATATATATATATATATATATATATATATATATATATATATATATATTATATACAATTTGAAAGAAAGTTGTTTTTCTTTTGACTTCTTAAACCTTATTTATATTTTTTTTATAGCAATTGTGTCCTTGGGATTTTGGTTCTTTAATGATATGAATGAAAATCTAAATTGTTTATTTATTCATAAACACATTTTACAAACGTTTCGGTGGCTGTTTTCCACCTTTTTCAATGCAATAACTAAAATATAAAGCAATTTAAAATTTTTCTACTATTTTTAATTATTATTAAAATATCTTACCTTAAACGAAACAATAATCCGATGTGGCACTTTATAGTTTACAATAATGCTACTTAATTAATAATTTGTGTGTATAGCGAGCACATCACTTTTTTACTGTTTTATACTAACCGATGATGTTTTTGTGTTTACAACTAAGTTTGAACTAAAATCTTGAACTGGGGTGGCTTCTAATTTGTAAAATTTCCAATGCCTGTAACATGTGTTTTTTACCTAAATTTTAAAGGTTTTAAGGATCTGTTGACTTAGCTTGCTGTGGCAGTGGTGCATTTCTAATTTTTTTGTAAGGGCAGCTACTATTTTGTTTGATTAATTTTGAGTAAGTTATTGTAGATTTTGTTTAAATTTTGTGTGTCTGTTTTGTCATTTATTGTTTTTGTTTGTTCTAGAAAAAAAGAATCCAATCCCATAAGTATGATAAAATTAATAAAACAGTACTCACGAAACATACACAGACAACAAAACACAAATTCTGCTTCGACAAAACAAAAATATTAGCTACAGAAAACCACACAAAAAAAGTGAAATTTTAGAAATGATTGAAATAAAAAAAAAAACCAAAAACAATAAAGACAAAACAGACACACAAAAGATTTGACATTTTGTTGCTAGGTAATACTACATACCGAAAAATGTTTAATTTTCCGCAACATTATTCCAAGTTTTATACAAGTCGGATATATAGAGCAAGAGATATGTACAGCAAATAATTTTAAAAATTATCTCTGACCTCCTCTCAATTCCACAAAAATTGATAAATGTAAAAAATACGGGTCTTTTATTTTTTATTTTCTATGTGCTGATAGATTCTGGCCCAATCTTTGTGAATCAGCCTGTATAATGTAGTTAGAAATATTTCATATATCAACTAATATAGTGCATGTGTCTTTTTTACAAATGTTAACTAGGTATATGTTTTATTTATTTTTTTATTTAAAAAAATGCTATCGGATTAATGCTCATCTATTTATTTACATTTTGTATTGTTCACATTTGATAATTAATTCTATACATAATTTAGTTACCATAGAAACACACAAATACAAACAAAATAATGTAACAATTTCTTTAATTTATTTTTGTTTAAGGCAGCTCGGTCTCAATTGTAATAATTCAATTACAAAAGTAAAATCGCGCGCTCTAATTTCAAGCAGATCTTTCTCAAAATCAGTGCCCACTGCTCGTAGAAAAATCACCCTCTCATTTTCGCTCACCGTAGTCGTATATTGGCTTATATTTCAAGACAATATTTTTATCTTTTGCTTTTATGTACACTGCTTTATTATTTAAAATGATATGATATTAAATATGTAGCTCATATTACGATTAGTGACGTTTCGTTCAGCAAGCTGTGTTTATAACCATCTATTATTTACCTGCATTAATAAATTCATGTGTTCAAAACCCACATTGCCTTATTCATCATTGGCCATGAATATAATATAGACTATATAATGGCAGAGTAATAAATGCTTTGGCTGAACGTACTACACGTATACCAACACTGAGTAGTTACTTTCTGATAGCATGTAATTATTTTTGAGAAACTACTTAAAGACGGAGCAGTATCAATCCTCTTCCAATTTGAGATCAGAACTGTAGGTAATTATTTTGTAATAAGTTTAATTTAAAATAAAACAAATGTTATTAATTTCCTTTGAAAAAAATATGCACGCTCATATAAAGAAATTATTTTGAGGTTATGTAATTTAGATGTCGAAGAGACGAAAATGATTTTTAAATCAAAAATAAATAAGAATTTAATTACAATAAATTTAAAAACAAGCTGAAATAACTAACAGGAAAAACTAACGTATGGCTTCATAAATTAAAATATTTCCAATGCTTTTTTGACAATCCACTTTATCAACCTCGTTCTTTATCATTGGAAAGAATTTCAACAAAATCGACCAAAAATAATTATACGAAGGACCATTTTCATTCTGAAAATGCACATTTTCAGCTAGGCTAAATTCACATGGATACGGGATCACGGATTCATGGTCTCTTATAGCCAATGTTGAGCAGCTAGATTATCACGGACTATCTCAAGATCGCAACGAACCACAGTTGGTTAATTTGAATTTTTTCCGTATCACGTAGGACGGACCCACAATTTATGAGATTTTTTTTAAACTTCTTATAAATAGCTTTATTAGTTGTCTTCTTTCTGGATAGCGACTGAAATATATTTCGGATGCAATATCACAACTGTTATTACTTTGAATAAAGCATTCTAGCATATCATATTTCTCGTAAATTTCGTAAGACATCTTCACTTTTACGATTAAATGGAGTGTAATTACGACGAAAAGAAAATTATTAATATGCAATTTACTGACAAACGGATA